GGCTACAATTGTACATTGTAAAATCAGACAGTAATAGAGTTTTCATAATAGGTTAGTGCTAGGTAAATCCTTTTGCCTTACAGAAGCTCAAAAGTGCCTTGCTCACATTAAAGAACTGGGTCTCTCTCTCTCTCTCTCTCTCTCTCTCTCTCGTGTTTTTGTTGTTGTTGTTTGTTTTTGTTCGTATTCACCCAAGGATATGTTTTCTGTTGGTTTTTAAAGAGAGTGAAAGGGAGGGGGAGAGACAGAGAAGAACATGGATGTGAAAAAGACACACCGATTGGTTGCCTCCTGCACACGTCTGGACCGGGGCTGGGCATCAACTCTGCAACCAAGGTAGTGCCCTTGATTAGAATCGAACTCAGACCTTCAGTGTGAGGCCCATGCTCCAACCACTGATCCAGACTGGCTAGGGTCTCTTTTACAAAGCTTAAAATTTTGTTTTTAAAAATGTACATCCTGTGTTAAATTATTACCTAATTAGGTCAGTATGAGGGTTTTGACCTTGGACAAGCAACATGCATTTTTAGTTTGGAGATTATGAGATATATTTTTGTTGCAAAAAACTGTGCCTGACAAGGTTCAAATGGGAAAGACATGGGACTGAGTATGTTATCATCAATCCTAGAGCTGTTGTGTATAAAGTGGATGATGTACGAGTAGGTAGATGGGATCACTTTAAAACTTTCTGGAATACTGGAATATTTTCTTGAGATTCAGTTTCATTTTCATTTAAAGTACTATCCTTGAAAAGTGTATTGATTAAATTTTAAATTGAATTACAGTGAAGCATGTTGAATCACCGAACCCCTATCATGCATAGCAGAATTAATGTGTTTCCCCAAATGGATAATTCAAAGCAAATAACTTCTGGTTGTTTTTGTTTGTTTTTTTGTTTCTACTATACCTTATGCTGATCATTTCTCTTCTATTCATTGTCTTTCTTTAGATGGGAGGTAATACATCAATTAGATTTCAGCTCAATTAATAATCATTTCCAGTGTGGCTTGCCTGAGATTACACCCAGGTCACTTTCATTGATGTTAATAATACTTTTTCATTTACTACCAGAGATGGGAAAGTTCATCCCATTGGGTTTGTGTTTAATTATGTTGGGGTCCAGCCCCAGCAGGTCCAGGGGTTCCCAAAGGTGTGGACGGAGTCAGCGAAGAAGGAATGACACGGAGGCAGCAGCGTTCAGATGATCAGCATAGCCAGGTTCCCTCTTTATTCTCCTGTTACATCTGTATTTATACCATTTGATCCTATAAGCATGCCTCTGTAGTTACATCATGGTATGTTTTGGGTCCTCCCTTAACCTTCTACAGTTCCTTGTTTCATGTCCATAGTTTATCTGACCTTTGCCAAAAAATCCCCTCTCCATCTAGTTCTGTTGATTTTAATCCTGTCCATTCTATTCCAAAGGTGTTATCTCCATTCCAAGGTCACTACTCTACTGTTCTGTTAAGCTACAAGGAAGTAACTGAAGGAGATTATCCTAAGTAAAGATTATGTAGTTTAAGCGTGATTGTTCGTAGTTAAGGGGTTTTACTGATTTATTCCCTTCCTTAGTCCTGTTAATCCCTAACTCCAGGGAAAAATCCCCACCTGGGGAAACAACCTTTCTCAGGGAGGTGGTTCTGGTTATAACACATAGCGCTAAAAAAGGGGGAGCAAACATATTAAGAACAGTATGCCGTATATGCTAGGTACCTTGAAACATATGCTGTGCAGATGTTTCTTCCCTGCAGCGTCTGTGTCAAGCAACAAGGATGGACCGCCCTCCGGCATAATTAAGATAATTTCTTTTTTCTTTTCTTAATTTCGGGCCTCTCTCTTTTTTTAAAATATATTTTTATTGATTTCAGAGAGAGAGGGAGGAGAGACAGAAACATCAATGATAAGAAATCATTGATCGGCTGCCACCTGCATGCCCCCTACCCTGACTGGAATTGAACTCTGACCTCCTGGTTCATAGGTCCACACTCAACCACTGGGCTACAGCAGCTGGGCAAGATAATTTCTTGATTTACTCCCACAGATGAAGAATTTCATCTATTAGGTGCGTAAGATTGAATAAAACAACTCCAAGAGTAACTTTACCTTGTTTCCTAGTTTTTGAGAGATTGTCTCTTTTCTCCATGTTCTGCCTTCATAACGTAAGGAGAGATCCTGAGGATAGTGACCTTTGAAACACCGTAATACCCCAACTCAAAGAACAGAGATTCAACTAGGATGAATGATTACATTGCAACACAATGTATCCTTACATTTTTACAAGATAAAAAAAAAATCTTGAAAACTCATAATTATACGCTCATATCAAGTTGCAAAAAAGGAATATGTGTTTTTAAATTTGTATATCTTAAATACTTAGGGGAAAAACAATGGTGTAATTAAACAATACATTAACTGAAAATTCACTCCATATATGGTAAACTGCCAGTCCACAGGAGACCATGTGACTTATTTCTGGGTACTGTAGAGGGAGCTAGTTTTCAGAAGGGGCATATTGGTCTGAATTAAAGGAAGGAAGAGAGAAGCAAGCAGTGGGGAAACTCATTTATTAGAAGACACCAAACATTTATTCACTTATAGTATGCTTTTATTAGATTCTTTACTGAATTGGGTTCCTGCAATGGGTGCTATAAAAAATAGGGATATAAAAAAATAGGAATATAAAAATAATAGCAGCCTAGCCGGTGTGGCTTAGTTGATTGATTGTCATCCCAGGCACCAAGAGGTCGCCAGTCAATTCTGGGTTGGGGCACATGCCTGGGTTTCAGGCTCGATCCCCAATAGAGGGCGTTCAGGAGGCAGCCAATCGATGTTTCTCTCTCATTGATGTTTCTGTCTCTCTCTTCCTCTCCTTTCCACTCTGTGAAATCAATTTAAAAACACGTATTTTAAAAAATAATAGATGAAACATAATCTAAAATATCTAAAGAATTTTAGTTTCAGAAGTAAATTATGAACTATGTACAGGTGCTGAAGAATGGAAAGCCAGAAAATGATCATTATGAAATGGGGGTTAGTCAGAAAACATTGCTTAGACCAGTGATGGCGAACCTTTTGAGCTCGGCGTGTCAGCATTTTGAAAAACCCTAACTTAACTCTGGCGCCGTGTCACATATAGAAATTTTTTGATATTTGCAGCCATAGTAAAACAAAGACTTATATTTTGATATTTATTTTATATATTTAAATGCCATTTAACAAAGAAAAATCAACCAAAAAAATGAGTTTGCGTGTCACCTCTGACACGCATGTCATAGGTTCGCCATCACTGGCTTAGACAGTGCTATAGTGTGAATGCTTGTGTCCCCTTCAAAATTCATCTTGAAATCCTAATATCAAAGTGATGTATTAGGAAGTGAGCCTTTGGGAGGTGATTAGGTCATTGGGGGGAAGCCATAATGGATAGGATTAGTACTCTTATCAGAGAACTCTATAGCACTTCTAGCTGTGAGGAGACAGAAAGGGCTGGCTTTGAACCAGCTGTCACTTAAATGCAATCATACTGGCCCCTTGATGTTGGACCTCCTGGCCTCCAGAACTGTGAGGAATAAATTTCTATTACTTATTAGCTACCCAGTCAGTGGTATTTTGTTGTAGCAGCCCAAACAGACTAAGACTGATAGGATAATTCAAGCTAGATTAATGAAGTAATGTGAGCGAACCCAGTTTTCAGGACATAAAATTGAGCAGAACCTAAAATCCAACCAAGCAAGACTTCAGCTAGTTTATCAAATCTATTCTCTAATTCACATGAAATTTCAGAACACTGGGGATAAAGAGAACATCTAAAAATTTATGTATAGGAAAATCAGCTGTGGCATTAAAGTGACATTGGACTTCTCAATAACAATTTTTGAAAGTTAGAAAACAATGACGATTGTTAGAAAACAAAATCCTCAAGGCAAATGATCCGCTCTAGAATTCTATATCCATCAAATTATCATGAAGTACAGGGGAAGAATAATGATATTGGGCAGAAGCCTGCCTCTACCTCAGCAGTCTAACTGCCCTGAGGCTGTGATTCTTTGAAGAAGCCCGAATAGATCTGGCTGAGAGACCAAACGGAGAGGCCCTGAAACTACATAAAGAGAGATCCTGACAGCCCCCAGCTGCTGTAGACCTCTTGCCTTTCCAGCTCTAGCCTGAAGGTAACCTCAGTGAGAGACCCCAGGCCACAAATGCCCAGCTGAGCTTTCCTCCATTCCTGTCTCACAGAAACCAGGAGACAATAAGTGGGTGTTGTGGTATAATGCCTCTACGTTTTGAGTAGGTTTGTTACACATCAATGCCAATTGTAAGAGTTACTCAGAAATTTTACAATCTGTGAATTGTAGTCCACCAAAATGAGAGACTAAACCAAGGGGAAAAAAAGCTTTAGAGGCAGGAAATCCACTTGGAAAGAGGTAAAAGAAATGAGCAGGATGATAGGTGGGCCTGTGGGCCTAGAGGGCTGCTGTTCTAAACTGGAGCAAGAGGACAGAAGGTCCAAGAGAAAGCAAGCTAAGAAGGAAATGAACTAATGGAATACCTGCTACATTTTCTCATCCAAAAGGATTTTAGTGCTTTCTCTGTGTCAGAAACGAATGTAGGCACTGGAAATACAACAAAAAATAAAATAGACCAAATGTCTGTTCTCAGAAACTTGCATTTTGGTGGAGGATGAGACACAATAATGGCATATGTTGAAATAATAAATATATTTTATATACATATACGTTTTAAGTTTATATATTGATATCTGATATGTTTGAATATTTTGAATGAGTATTTTTTTGTAATCAGTATATTAAAAATGTGTAACTGACACATTAAAACCAAGCAAACAGAAAATCAAGGCAATTATTAACGCCAAGAAAAACAAAATGAATGCGCATACAGTATGCTATATACAACATGGATGAACCTTGAGAACTTTTTAAAAAATATTTATTTATTTCAGAGAGGAAGGGAGAGGGAGAGAGAGATAGAAACATCAATGATGAGTGTTGTATGAAAGGAGAGAGGGTTAGCACCCCCCCTTGACAAGGATGGAAGAGGCTCTCGGGCCTAACAACACGCATACGGTTAAGGCATTGCCACCTACTTCGTGGCATCTAACCACTGTTTTTTCCAGTCAGAGAAAGATAAATACCACATGATCTCACTCCTTTGTGGAATATAGAGAACAACATAGACTGATGAACAGGGACAGATCCAAAGACAGAGAAACAGCGATCGGACTATTAATCCCCAGAGGGAAAAGTAGGGGAGGGTGGGAGTAAGGGGAAGAGATCAACCAAAGGACTTGTATGCATGCATATAAGCCAAACCAATGGACATGGACAACAGGGGGATGAGAGCATGAGTGGGGGGTGGGGAGGTTGGGGATTAATGGGGGGATGAGGACACATTTGTAATACCTTAACTAATAAAGAATTTAAAGATTAAAAAAAAAAGAAGAAGAAACATCAATGATGAGAGAGAATCATTGATCAGCTGCCTCCTGCAGCCCCCCACACTGGAGATTGACCCACAACCTGGGCATGTGCTCTGACCGGGAATCAAACAGTAACCTTAGGTTCATAGGTCAACACTCAACCTCTGAACCACGCCAGCTGGGCTATATTGCTGTTTTATATTTAAAGAACCTGAAGGAAGCACAGAGAAGCTAAGTGGCCTTGCCGTAGGCCACTTAGCTAATAAGACTTGCTTAGTCATAATATTGTAAACACTGAATATTTTAAGTATAGTAGTACTACTTGGCTTTTATAATGTCACACACACACACACACTTATAATTTCAGTACCTGAATAAAGCTGCCATTAAAATTTAAGTGTGTGTGTGTGTGTGTGTGTGTAAATAACATGTAAATGGATAGACTATCTCTGAGGGACTGCAACAGAAGCTGGAAACAGTGGCTTCCCCAGAGGAGAGGAGCCAGGGGATTTGAGGATAGTAGGGAAAAAACATCACTTTGTATTGTGTACCTTTTTGTATTATTTTAATTTTGTCCCAAGTAACTGGATTGCAAAATTAATTTTTAATATATATATTTAATATATTTTTATTGATTTCAGAAAGGAAGGTAGAGAGAGAGAGACAGAGATAGAAACATCAATGATGAGAGAGAATCATTGATTGGCTGCCTCCTGCACGTTCCCCACTGGGGATGGAGCCCGAAACCCAGGCATGTGCCCTAACCGGGAATCGAACCGTGACCTCCTGGTTCATAGGTTGATGCTTAACCACTGAGCCACGCCAGCTGGGCCAAAATTAAATTTAAAAGAAGTAAAAAGATAGATACCAAAATGTCATTACTGCTTAGTTAACTCTGGATGCTGAGATTTTTTAAAATTTTGTTCTTTTCTCTGTTTTCTAAATTTTCTACAACAAACATGGATTAGTTTTAGAATAGGAGGGGAAAAATTCTCATTTAGGGAATATGTATATCCTTCATTCAACTATATTTTTCTTCCTAACTTGGCATCTAGGATTCTATGACTAGAAGTGTTCAGATCTGAAGAATGAGTAAGTCTGGGGTTCTTGAGCTAATAAATGAAAGTTGTTGTTTGGTCATAGTCCATGGTGGATTCTAATAATTATTATTTTTATGTAGGACCTCAGTTTATTCAGTTGGAGTTATAAAAGCTATGTAAATGTAAAGCTGGTTTCCTCGTGGAAGAGTTTTCAGGCAATCAAAAAAAAAAAAAAGACAAACATCACATAATAAAATTTAAACTGTTTTCCAAAATGATAGCAAGTCTTTTCCCCAAATCTCTTTCCTGTCATCATCATTAATCTAACTCACTTTTATAAGATTCAGCTGTCAACTCCAAAGCACTGGTATATAATTGCTCTCTGTGCAAATGTGAGTTTGGAAAAGTCCCAGTACACTTCCTATGAAAATTTGCATTTATGTTAAGAAAAAAGAAGAGAAGGTAATGAGTCAGAAATGATTTCTTAGGACTGAAGCAAAGATGGTCCCTTTGCTCTTGAATCTAGAGTTAGATTTAGGGACTGGCTTCCCTGAGTAGGTAGGATTTAGTCTCTCCCAGATGCTTAAGGGTTACCAGGGAGCTATGTCCTTAAAAGACCCACGCAGCAGACCGGATGAGGTCAGTGCACTCCACATTACAGAGCCGGAACTTCAGCTTCTGGTGGAAGGCGTTGGAAGGAACAAAGAAAGGAGGACACAGAACGGGGAGGGCTGGCTGCTGTGGGTGTGGGTGTGAGTAGAGCAAGCCGAATAAGTAAAGTGATATGCAGCCAGGAGACGAAAGAAATTGAAAATGAGAAGTATGAGGAAGGAGAAAAAAGAAGGAAAAATCGACAAAAAAGACAAAGGGAAAGGAGGAACCATCCACGAGAAAAGAGGATGGCAAAAACTTTTTAAAAGAACATAATAAATTTGTACAAAGACTATTGAAATAAAAAATGGGGAAAAAAAACCACACTCTTAACAGGATAACCAAAGAGACAGAAAAAAAATTAAATGTTATAGACTCTCCTGCCAGCCAATATCCTAACAAATCAAAAGGAACCACTAAAACAGATTCAGCTTAAACAAAAAAGACAAAATTGAAAATTTCAAGCTGTCAGAAGGGAGGGGATTGTGGGTCTGGGTGAAAAAGGTGAAGGGATTAAGCAAACAAAACAAAACTCATAGACACAGACAATAGTATGGTGATTACCAGAGGGAAAGAGGGATGGGGAGGTAGAAGAGGGTAAAGGGGATGGTGAGCACACAATATACAGATGATTTATTACAGAATTGTTCACCTGTAACCTGTCACCCCAATAAATTCAATTTAAAAAAAAAGAAAAAGCCCTGAAAGTTTCACTACAACAAAACCCTCTAAATCTCTTCACTAGATACCTTTATTCAACTGGTTATTTTATTTTTGATGAAAATTTTCAATATTTCATTTTTTCAAATAATGTTTTATTTTCCAATGACAGTTAATAGACAATATTATATTAATTTCAGGTGTATAACATAGTAATAAGACATTATATAACTTACTAAGTGATCACCCCAATAAATCTGATTCTCATCTGACACTCATTCAGTGGGTTATTTTAGAATCTGTGAGAATACAGCAGAATATCATCTCATTGTAAGGGGGAACCGTTGGCATGTAGGCTGAATCTGACCCTCACCATATTTCATCTAATCCATAGAGGGATTTCTAAAAGGAGATACACCATACTTCATGCTTGCAATTGCCAAAAGGCATTATGGTATTGAAACCATTAATGGTAGTATGGCAAAAGGCCACAAGATGGTGATAGCATACCCCAAATTCTCTCCTTTCTCTCTCTCTCTCTCTCTCTCTCTCTCTCTCTCTCACACACACACACACACACACACACACTTACCAATTTTCCTTAACACAAAAATTGCCTCAGGGGAGTGTTTGTGGCAGTGGTGTGAATGAGAGAAGAGATTTGAAAATCTAACTTTAGACAATAATCAAAACACAACAAAATTTAGAAGTATTTTTCTTTTTTTAAAATATGTTTTTAGAAGTATTTTTTTGGTTTCTCTTTTTTTCCCAATTTAAAAAAAAAAACAACACTAAGGAAACATTTTTCAGCTGTAGGCACTCTGATTTTTTAAAAATATATTTTATTGATTTTTTTACAGAGAGGAAGGGAGAGGGATAGAGAGTTAGAAACATAGATGAGAGAGACATCGATCAGCTGCCTCCTGCACACCCCCTACTGGGGATGTGCCCAAAACCAAGGTACATGCCCTTGGCCGGAATTGAACCTGGGACCCTTCAGTCCGCAGGCCGACGCTCTATCCACTGAGCCAAACCAGTTAGGGCCAGACACTCTGATTTTTATGTATCTACTGATAAAGCAACACACTTAAAGTAACTGTTACCTTTTGGGGAAATGTTAAATTTTTTTCTTCAGCTTCATAAAATGAACTTTCCAGTGAAGATTTTATTTCCTTGACTGCAATTTATTTCCTTATTTATTAAGGGCTAATCCCTTACCTTAAATTGGTGTGACATTTTAGGTTAATAATGGTTCATATTGTCATATGGATACATTTAACTTTCCAACATGCAAACACACATGCATATACTATTTTTATCTGCTACTTAACACAGAAACAAAATTTGGATGGAGAAATAGGCTAGAATCCTCAGCTTAAAATGCCAAAAAAGTAACTAAAGGGAAAACAGCCTGAAGTTTATTTGAAAGTCATTAAGACTTTATTTCCAAAAACAATATAAACAATTAGAAATATTTTTCTATTCAGCATCAAGTAAATTCTTAAAACAACATTAAGTTCTAATATTGACCTGAAGCTGATAATATGTATCAATAGGTCATAAAAACATTCTTATCTTTGACTCTTAATTCAACATCCAGGAATTTATCTTAGGAAAATAAGAGATTCACATGAAGATGTACACAGGTGTTTATTATAGCATTACTTCTGGAAATGAAAAATATTGGCAACACCATAATAGAGAATTGAGCAAATAAACATCCATAAACTGAAATACAATGTAATCATTTAAATTATGTTTTTCAAGGCATTGTCATATACTGGTGAGGGAGTATAAAAATGAGACAACCTTTTGAAAGGGCAATTTGGTATTATTTATCTAAATTGTAAATGGGTATACGCTTTGATTCAACATTTCCATGTCTAGAAATTTATCCTGAGAAAATAATTTGACAGATATGCAAATATACATGGGCAAAATGTTCATTGATTCAGCCTACCCCAGATACCTGTCAGAAAGAGTTTTAATAGTATACAGGAAAAGCTCTCCATCGTCCCCAATCCTTCTTTCTCCACTCCTTCCAATTTCAAGGCATGATTCAGAAAGAGAAGGTTAAGCCCTGGCCAGTATGGCTCAGTTGTTTGGGCGTGGTTCCCTGCACTGAAAGGTGGTTGGTTCCATTCCAGGTTGGGACACATGCCCAGGGTTGTGGGCTCTCCCCAATAGGGGGTCTGCAAGAGGCAGCTGATTGGGTGAGGATTTTTTTTAAAAAAAGAAGGCTACAAAAGAGAAGACACCTCTCTGAGTCAAAGAATTTGCAATCTAATGATTGCCCTTGCAATAAGTAGTTAAAATAGAGAAAAAAATATGACAAAACAGCC